ACACAGAATTGTTACTCAGGGGACACAGAATTGTTACTCAGGGACAGACACAGAATTGTTACTCAGGGACGGACACAGAATTGTTACTCAGGGACAGACACAGAATTTTTACTCAGGGGACACAGAATTGTTACTGAGGGACACAGAATTGTTACTCAGGGACACAGAATTGTTACTGAGGGACACAGAATTGTTACTCAGGGACAGACACAGAATTGTTACTCAGGGACAGAATGTTGTTACAGGGACACAGAATTGTTACTGAGGGACACAGAATTGTTACTGTTACTGAGGGACACAGAATTGTTACTCAGGGACAGACACAGAATTGTTACTCAGGGGGACAGAACACAGAATGTTACTGAGGGACACAGAATTGTTACTGAGGGACACAGAATTGTTACTGAGGGACACAGAATTGTTACTCAGGGACAGACACAGAATTGTTACTCAGGGACAGACACAGAATTGTTACTGAGGGACACAGAATTGTTACTGAGGGACACAGAATTGTTACTCAGGGACACAGAATTGTTACTCAGGGACACAGAATTGTTACTCAGGGACACAGAATTGTTACTACTGAGGGACACAGAATTGTGTTACTGGAGGGACACAGAATTGTTACTGAGGGGACACAGAATTGTTACTGAGGGACACAGAATTGTTACTGAGGGACACAGAATTGTTACTCAGGGACAGACACAGAATTGTTACTCAGGGACAGACACAGAATTGTTACTGAGGGACACAGAATTGTTACTGAGGGACACAGAATTGTTACTGAGGGACACAGAATTGTTACTCAGGGACAGACACAGAATTGTTACTCAGGGACAGACACAGAATTGTTACTGAGGACACAGACACAGAATTGTTACTGAGGGACACAGAATTGTTACTTGTTAATTGTTCAGAGGGACACAGAATTGTTACTCAGGGACAGACACAGAATTGTTACTCAGGGACAGACACAGAATTGTTACTGAGGGACACAGAATTGTTACTGAGGGACACAGAATTGTTACTCAGGGACAGACACAGAATTGTTACTCAGGGACAGACACAGAATTGTTACTGAGGGACACAGAATTGTTACTCAGGGACACAGAATTGTTACTCAGGGACACAGAATTGTTACTCAGGGACAGATTGTTACAGAATTTGTTACTCAGGGAGGGACAGACAGAATTGTTACTGAGGGACACAGAATTGTTACTCAGGGACACAGAATTGTTACTCAGGGACACAGAATTGTTACTCAGGGACACAGAATTGTTACTCAGGGACACAGAATTGTTACTGAGGGACACAGAATTGTTACTCAGGGACACAGAATTGTTACTCAGGGACAGACACAGAATTGTTACTGAGGGACACAGAATTGTTACTCAGGGGACACAGAATTGTTACTGAGGGACACAGAATTGTTACTCAGGACAGACACAGAATTGTTACTGAGGGGACACAGAATTGTTACTGAGGGACACAGAATTGTTACTGAGGGACACAGAATTGTTACTCAGGGACACAGAATTGTTACTCAGGGACAGACACAGAATTGTTACTCAGGGACACAGAATTGTTACTCAGGGACACAGAATCTTTGAATTAAAGAGTATGTCAGACAACATGCAGAGGAGTGGCAGAGGAGGCAATGTTTTAGGAGCGAGCAGACGTGGCAGCAGAGGAAGGGGTCGAGGCAGCACTAGTCGCAGCCAGAGGCCAGTGCTCCCGGTGTCATCCAGCGGTCGTGTCTCCACCGACAACCCTGCCGTCATCGATTGGTTGGCTCGGTCGTCTTCCTCTTCCCAGGTCACCTCTGACACCTACAGCCAACGGTCGGTGGGTACGTCAGACACAACCGTTAGTTGGCATGGCCCGGGAGCAAGCCCACTGAAATCACGTGTCCTCTACCTGCCCCTGTCCTTTGGTGTTCCCTCACCAAGCGAAGTATCGCATGCTGTGGGCTCAGCCCCACTGTACAGTGAGGAAGAGCTAACAGAGGGCGGTCAGGAACGGGGGGAGACATCCGCCTCTTCAGCAGCCAGGCGAAGAAGTACTGGCGAGGAGAGTGGCTCGGTAGCCGGTCTAGAGACAGGTCTGTCTCCTGACCCACACGCAGCCGAGGGGGCTAGTAGTGAGGCGGAGACCCTAATTGATGATGATGAGGCTGATCGCACTTGGCAGCCTCGTCGTCATCAGGCTATTGCTTCCGCATCATCAGGAGAAGAGGGTGCCAGCTTGGCAGCGAGCAAAACAGTCGGTGGGTTGCCCAGGAGGCAGCAGGGTCGCAGCAGTGTCAGTGGAGGCAAACGGCCACGGAGTAGAGCACCAGCTCCACTGCAGCCTACCACCACGGCCAGTAGTGGTGCCGGTGTGCACGGAGGAAGTAGCAGTCAGCCAGTGAGGAGTAGCGGGGGCAAAGTTTCCTACTCGGCGGCGGTGTGGCAATTTTTTGTCAAGCCGCCCGAGGAAGTAAACGTAGCCGTATGTCGACTATGTGGCCAGAAAGTCAAGCGTGGCCAGGGGGCCCATGTTGGGACTACAGCGTTGCGTCAGCATATGCAGCGTCGCCATTTGGTGGCCTGGGAAAACCGTGATAAAGATACGGCGGTTCTGCCTGCCCCAGCCCCCGCTCCATCATCACCCGCTCCGTTACTTGCTCCGTCACCCGACGTCAATCGCCCTCTATCAGCCAGTCAAGGCTCCAACACCTCTGCTGAGGGGAGTTGTCGCTCGTTGGCATCTTCCGCTCGTTCAGATGCTCCTTCTCCTGCTACTCCTCTTCACGGATTCCGTCAGCAGTCTTTCTTGGAATCCGTTTCCAAGAGACAACAGTTTGCGAGCACGCACCCGACGGTGCAGAAGCTGAACGTCCTCCTGTCCAAGTTGCTGGTGCTGCAGTCCCTCCCTTTCCAAGTGGTGGACTCAGCACCTTTCCGAGAAATGATGGCTTGTGCCGCGCCGCGGTGGAGAGTGCCAAGCTGTCATTTCTTCGCCAAAAAGGCAGTGCCAGCCCTGCATTCACATGTAGAAGAGATGGTGGGCCAGTCTTTGAGCATGTCGGTCTCTGCCAAAGTGCACGGCAGCGCCGACGTGTGGAGCTGTAACTACGGTCAGGGACAGTACATGTCATTTACGGCCCACTGGGTGAACGTGGTGCCGGCACAGCCGCACCAGCAACTTGGACAGGTCACGCCGCTTTTGCCTCCACGTTTGCACGTCCTTGGTCCGGCAAAGATGTCCGCCTCTACCACCTCTTCTTCCGCCGTGTCCTCAGCCGCCGCCACCCCCGTGCCAAGTCCCATTACCCGACCGGCATATCACATGTTGCAGGGCGCAACGGTGTCACGCTGTGCTGCACCTGGTATGCCTTGGCGAACGTAGTCACACAGGGGAGGAACTTCTGAGTGTAATGAACAGAGAAATCGACAGATGGCTGTCTCCGCGCAAACTGAAAATCGGAACCATGTTGACCGACAACGGAAAGAACATGGTGTCTGCTCTGCGTCAAGGAAGGTTGTGCCATGCGCCATGCATGGCTCACGTGTTCAATCTGGTTGTCAAGCGGTTCCTAAAATCCACCATCCCACTGCAAGACATCCTTAAAATGTCACGTAAACTTTGCATGCATTTCAGCCATTCCTACACCGCAAAGCACACCCTCCTTGAGCTGCAGCGGCAGAACGGAATTCCACAGCATCGCCTGATCTGCGACGTTGCAACAAGGTGGAATTCAACCCTACACATGTTAGACCGCCTTTACGAACAGCGAAAGGCCATCACCGATTTCCTGATGTTACAAGCGGATAAAGGTACTTCCCCTGTGTAACTTCAATGTCAGCCATTGGCAGCTCATGCGTGACACCTGCCGCTTGCTCAGGCCCTTTGAGGAGGCCACGCTATTCGTGAGTCGGCAGGACTATGGGATGAACGACGTCATTCCTCTGTTGCACGTCCTGGAACAAATGCTGTTAACAATGGCTGGTCAGGGTGCGGTAGACGTGGCACACAGATCTCAACGCCACATGACCCCTGTAGGGGCAGGACAGGAAGAAGAGGAGGAGGTAGAGGAGGACATTGGTGCTCAGGAATTATTGAGTGAAATGGGTGGTTTTTCCACTCAGCGGACAGGAGTGGAGGAGCAGGAGCATCTGGTAGAGGAGGAGGAGACAGAGGACCCAGACGCACCGTGGCAGTATGCTGTGGAGATGGAGGCAGGGAGTCCCTCGCATTCCTTGGCACAAATGGCCCATAGCATGCTTGGTTGCTTGCGTAGCGACAGCCGAATAATAACCATCAGACAGAGGGATGACTTTTTGGCTGTCCACCTTGTTGGACCTTCGCTACCGTTCAAAAATGGTGGCCTTTTTCACACCTGCTGAGAGGGAGGCCAAAATAAAGTACTATAAAAACCACCTATGTAGTCAGTTGGTCTCTGCGTTTCTGCGCCAACGTCCATCCTCTGACACTGTGGGCCCTGTGCGCTCGCGTTCCGCTGCCATGGCAGCAGGGGAGGGGTGGGGTGGTAGGAGCAGTGGCAGCTCCACCAGCAGCGGCTGCCTCAGTCTGCAGTCGATGATGAGTAGCTTTCTTCACCAGCGCAGTGAGGAAACTACTAACCAGCCGCAGCAGCAGCAGCATCAGGTGGACCTGGAGCAGGACCTCAAACAACAGGCTTGGGCCTACTTGGACAGCACACCCTGCCAACCGAGGTAGACAATCCCCTTGACTACTGGGCAACGAAACTTGACCTTTGGCCCCAACTAGCTGAATTTGCCCTTGAAAGGCTGTCATGCCCGGCCAGTAGCGTGGCATCGGAGCGCGTGTGTTTAGTGCGGCAGGAGGTATTGTAACTCCGCGGAGGACACGACTGTCCACCCAAAGTGTGGAGAGACTCACGTTTGTGAAAATGAATCAGGCGTGGATTAGTCTGGATTTCAAACCACCAGTTCCTGACACAACTGACTAAATCCGCCATGAATCATGCCCCAAACATGTGCCACTTTCAGGTCTCCTCACACTGCTGGTGGGTTCCATTTTGTCATAGGGTGCTGGCAGATTACGGGCCTCCCATTGCTGCTGCCAGGTCCGTAATCTGCCATGGGCCCCTGTACCGCCTCCTCATGCTGCTGCCAGGCCCGTAATGTGTCATGGGTCCCTGTACGACCTCCCATTGCTGCTGTCTCCATCGCCACACTCTGCCATGTGCCACTTTCAGGTCTCCTCACACTGCTGGTGTGTTCCATTTTGTCATAGGGTGCTGGCAGATTACGGGCCTCCCATTGCTGCTGCCAGGCCTGTAATCTGCCATGGGCCCCCTGTATAAACCGCCTCCTCATGCTGCTGCCAGGTCCAGAGTGTGTCATGGGTCCCTGTACGGCCTCCCATTGCTGCTGTCTCCATCGCCACACTCTGCCATGTGCCACTTTCAGGTCTCCTCACACTGCTGGTGGGTTCCATTTTTGTCATAGGGTGCTGTATGGCCTCCCATTGCTGCTGCCTCCCACCGCCACACTGTGGCTCCACACACTCTGGTTTTGGCCCCGTGACTGCCCAAATGAGTGAAGTGTGCGGTGATTCTAAGATCGACGGCACTCATCTGCATGTCATACTGACTGACAGTATTATTTCTCTTCCCCAGCAGACTCCAAGGGCATTTAAATTAAAGGTACAGTGTTCTGCACTAATATAAAGGCTCTCTGAAGCCTAGAAACACCCTTTTATAAGTTAAATTCGCAGCGAATATATTCGACTCGAATCAAATTTATTCCGAATTCGCCGAATCAGCCGAATCAGCCGAATCAAATTTTTGAATACTTCGCTCATCTCTAATGAACACAGTCTTAAATACAGTACCTAGGCTTTCACTTCCCAACCTTCAAATTTGCAGAAGAAAAAAAGACAGGCATAACCCTGTCCCTACTGCTCTTCACCCTAGCTATTAAGCTTTTGGAACACCCAATAAGACAGAACCCAAATGTACAAGGTTTGAAGATAGCAGACAACAATAACAATAAAATCTGCTTTTTTTTGTAGATGACATACTCCTATTTTTGACCAATCATTGTGCCCCTCCTCTGAACCTAATCTCAATCTTGCATACATTTCAGTGCTTTTCTGGCTTATGAATTCATAATGATAGATACTCACCAGCAGACCTCATTCCCTTTCCATTGGGAACAGAGTCACTTACCATACTTAGGGATCTATATTATGTCTTCCTCTGATACCCTTTATGTACTCTAATAAGTAATACTCTAATAAAACTTATCCAGCTCATGAAATCATGGACATTTTACATTGTGACATGATCAAGAAATCTTAAAGTACTGTACATGTAAAAACTAAGGCTAAATTCACATTTGGGCAGTTTTGAAAAGTGGATTGTTTCTCAGAGAGCAGCTGTCGGGCTTTTTTTTTTGCCTTGTTTTTTTGCCAAACAATGATTTGTAATGGGACCAATGCACTGCAACTGCCAGCCAAACACTTGGCTCATAGTTGAGGTGGTGCTGCCTGTCAACATGACAAGCCACATTAAATGTACATACATTAAACATTTGTTTTTTAAGAACCCTATATTATCATAGAAAAAATGGATTACAGGTGAATAATGAAGGGAAAGTTAGCCTCGTAGTCAAAGGATGGTAGCCTCCATCTAATGTTCTCACACAGATTCTCTATAATCTAGATACCGTATGATTAAGAGCACACATAGCAGCATGAGGTTAATTATTTTGTAGATAGCATCATGCAGGAAACTAGCAAAACTATTCTCTTGTAGCAAGCAATGTTAACTGCTACTGGATCTGACTGACTACATTAAAGTATAAGCAAAGAGATAATGAGACTGGTCAGATTTGTATTATTAATTAATTTCTGCCCTAAGGCAAATGAGCTATGTTAATCCAACTACTGCATTTCTCAAGGTCAAAATGTATTGTGAAAGCAACTGGAAATTACATATCAGAAGCAATATGTATATCGACAAGTGCAATAACAGCAACTATATATAAACACAATTAGCAAATATTATCAGTAAAAAGTTAACCGTAATGTTCATTTAACCATTTATTAAATTCATGGACTCTTTTGCAAGTTTTAAACTGATATTACACTTTTATTCTATTTAAAATTGAATTGTGGTTTTAAGCAAAGAGCATTAAACAATCCCCTTTTCCCCTCAGCTCCATTGCCTTGTATACTGTATTTCATTAATACTCTCATTGCATATTGTAGTGGTTGCAAGCTTCCCTGAGCTTTGTATACCGTGAAGTGCTTTCTGATTCCTGCTGGCCCTGTATGCACAGTAGTATTCCATGCAAATGCATACAGCTGTTCACCTGCCTCTCTAGTCTCAAGGATCCCTGTTTTTCTTGTTTTGGTGGCAAAATGTAAGTGTATCTAAACCCAAAAACAAAAATGTAACACATTTCAGCTCAACAGTACTTAGTGTTGCTAAGTGGTTGCTTTTTCATTTTTCAGGCTTTCTTCCTTTATTTTCACCTGGTAATCCTGCATATAACATAAGTGAATGGTTTATTGCCTTAAATAAATCTACCCCCTTATCTCCAGTTTCTGTTATTCTAATAATATTCTAAATATTTTCTCACCCACATTCCAATGATGATGCAGCAATCAAAGCTATGGAAAGAGATATCAGCCTTTTTTTTTACTGAAGGGGATTTCAAATAATAAATACAATACCCCTCAAGTGCTCTCTATGCAGTATCTTAACCCAAGAAAATGGGTATAAAATTCATACCAGATGGTATCATGCTCTTCTTGCCTCCATAAAATGTCACCCACTGACTCAAATATTGGATATGCAGACAAGATTTATACATGAACATATGGTGGCACTACCCTGCTCTTTCATATTTTTGGTCAGAAGTTCATTGAATTACAACCCATATCACTACAGCACCATTGCAGTTTACAGCAGTCCGATTCCTCTGACACTACCCATGACCTGACCTAACCCAACATTCCAAATCACTCAGAGTGCATATATTCAATGCCGCCAAAATATGCATTTGTAAACTGTGGCTGATGAAAAGGCCTCATACATACAGGGAATAATTTTCCAAAATTGAACACATACAGTGAAGGAAATAAGTATTTGATCCCCTGCTGATTTGGAATGTTTGACCACTCACAAAGAAATGATCAGTCTAAAAATCAAATGGTAGGTGCATTGTAACAAAGAGACAGAATAGCAACAAAAAATTCAAAAGAAATGCATGTCTGACAAATTATGCACTGATTTGCATGTTTATGAGGGAAATAAGTATTTGATCCCCTTCACAAAACATGACTTAGTACTTGGTGGCAAATCCCTTGTTGGCAATCACAGAGGTCAGATGTTTCCTGTAGTTGGCCACCAGGTTTGCACACATCTCAGGAGGAATTTTGGCCCACTCCTCTTGGCAGATCCTCTCCAAGTCAATAAGGTTTGGTGGCTGATGTTTGGCAACTCAAACTTTCAGCTCATTCCACAGATTTTCAATTAAGGTCTGGAGACTGGATAGGCCACTCCAGGACCTTAATATGCTTCTTCTTGAGCCACTCCTTTGTTGCCTTGGCCGTGTGTTTTGGGTTATTGTCATGCTGGAACACCCATCCACAACCCATTTTCAATGCCCTGGCTGAGAGAAGGAGGTTCTTACATTAGATTTGACGGTGCATTGCTCCGCCCATCGCCCCTTTGATGCAGTGCAGTTGTCCTGTCCACTTAGCAGAAAAACACCCCCAAAGCAGAATGTTTCCACCACCATGTTTAATAGTTGGGATGGTGTGTTCTTCAGGTCATAGGCAGCATTCCTTCTCCTCCAAACACGGCAAGTTGAGTTGATGCCAAAGAGCTCGATTTTGGTCTCATCTGACCACAACACTTTCAACCAGTCCTCCTCTGCATCACTCAGATGCTCAGTGGCAAACTTCAGATGGGCCTGGACATGTGCTTTCTTGAGCAGAGGGACCTTGTGGGCACTGCAGGATTTTAATCCTTGTCGGTGTAGTGTGTTACCAATTGTTTTATTGGTGACTGTGGTCCCAACTGCCTGGAGATCATTGACAAGATCCTCACGTGTAGTTCTGGGATGATTCCTCACTGTTCTCATGATCATTGACACTCCACGAGGTGAGATCTTGCATGGTGCACCAGACCTAGGGAGATTGACAGTTGTTTTGTGTTTCTTCCATTTGCGAATTATTGCACCAACTGTTGTCACCTTCTCACCAAGCTGCTTGGCAATAGTTTGGTAGCCCAGTCCAGCCTTGTGTAGGTCTACAATTTTATCCTTGATTTCCTTGGACAGCTCTTTGGTCTTTGGCATGGTGGAGAGCTTGGAATCTAATTTTTTGATTGTTCCTGTGGACAGGTGTCTTTTATACAGGTAACAAAATGAGATTAGCAGCACTCCCTTTAAGAGACTGCTTCTAATATCAGCTTGTTACCTTCATGAAAGACACCTGGTAGCCAGAAATCCTGCTGAATGATAGGGGATCAAATATTTAATTCCCTCATGAACATGTAAAACAGTGCATCATTTGTTAGACATGCATTTTTTTTTTAATTTTTTTGTTGCTATTCTGTTTCTTAGTGTTACAATACACCTACCATTCAATTTTTTAGACTGATCATTTCTTTGTGAGTGGGCAAACATTCAAAATCAGCAAGGGATCAAATACTTATTTCCTTCACTATACATGTTTTGGATGAACTTGTTCACAGTTCCCAAGACGAATCGATTAAATACATTGATTCCTGGGCATGTTAGATTCTATTTCAAAACTTCCAGGAATACAAACACAGTTTTAGCATCCAATGTCTTTAACTAGATTACTCTTACCCTGGCTTGTCAATAGGCAACAAGATATATCTCCTGGTGGAGAAACAGGGCTTACAAAAGAGGTGAATCACCAAGCCCACCAGCTGGTCCTGAATACTTTTCCTTCCAACAGATTGATGTCATCCTTCCCTTCTCCCTCCACCTCCATTTTTGAACCTCTTTCCACCCCCTTACTTATTTGCCACATCCATTCCTCTTCTTTCCCCTCTACCGTCAGCACTTCTGTCCCATACCTCACATACCATCTCTTCCCTTTTGTTGCTGGGTTGTTTTCTTCCCCTCCTCACTATCTTTCCTTCCCCTTCAATTTCAGCAATGATCTGCTCCAACCTTTATCATACTCCCCACCTTTAACACATGTGGTTTTACTCCCATGTATCATTCTTATCACACAATAAACACAATCACTTGGATAAATAAGGTACAACATCCACTGCATCACTATTTATTGCATAAGATGAGCATTTTGGTATCCTACATTTACCGGTGATTACAAATTCAGGAAGAATTTACAACTAATACTTATGACATTATTTACAGACAGGGATGAGCTGAACTTACCTGATTTGGTTCAAGGAGGGTTTGCAGAACATAAGTGAAGTTCAGGTCTCAAATCCAAACCCCATTTAAGCCAAACCCCACAAAGCCAAATGTTAAAAAAGCAGTAATGGACATTTTTTTGAGCTAATAAACAAGGGATTGTCGAATACATGGCATATAAGCCGTGCACTGCACTGGAAAATATCTACCAAAGCAAAAAAGAAAAAAAAAACCCATAAAAAATTGGCTTGGTGAGAAGTAGAGATGAGCGAATCGAACTTGGCGAAGTGGAATTCGTTTAGAATATTAGGAAAAATTCGATTCGCGCCGAATCCGAAAATTAGCAAACTTCGGATGCACGAATCGAATTTTCCCCGATCGGCCGATTTTCATCCCTTCTACAGCCGGCAAAAAGTGTCCCTGCAGAGAGCTCCGCTATTTCTGACAGTTCTCTGACAGTTCCTTCACATTTACAGCGGTTGAAACATTGTATCTATTTGTTTCCATTTAGGATACAGATGTTTTTATTCGGAAACAAATAGATACAATGTTTCAACCGCTGTAAATGTGAAGGAACTGTCAGAGAACTGTCAGAAATAGCGGAGCTCTCTGCAGATACACTTTTTGCTGGAATGGAATTCTTCTTTATTTTCATCCAACTTCTTCTTCTTCTTCTTCTTCTCTTCTTCTTCATCCTCATCCTCAGCTCTTCTTCTTCTTCATCCTCATCCTCTTCTTCTTCTTCTTCTTCTTCTTCCTTCATCCTCATCTCTTCCTCTTCTTCTTCTTCTTCATCCTCATCCTCTTCTTCATCCTCATCCTCTATTCTTCTTCTTCATCCTCATCCTCTTCTTCTTCATTGCTCATCCTCTTCTTTTATTCATCCTCATCCTCTTCTTCTTCTCATCCTCTTCCTCATCTTCTTCTTCTTCTTCTTCATCCTCTTCTCTTCTTCTTCTCTTCTTCTTCCTCACCATCATCCTTCTTCTTCTTCTTCATCCTCATCCTCTTTCTTCATCCTCATCCTCATCCTCTTCTTCTTTCTTCTTCATCTTCTTCTTCTTCTTCTTCTTCTTCTCATCTTCTTCTTCCTCATCCTCATCCTCTTCTTCTTCTTCTTCTTCTTCTTCTTCATCCTCATCCTCTTCTTCTTCTTCTTCTCTTCTTCTTCTTAATCCTCTTCTTCTTCTTCTTCATCCTCATCCTCTCTTCTGCTTCTTCTTCTTCTTCTTCTTCTTCTTCTTTCTTCTTCTTCATCCTCATCCTCATCCTTCATCCTCTTCTTCTTCTTCTTCCTCATCCTCTTCTTCTTCTTCTTCTTCATCCTCATCCTCATCCCTTCATTCTTCTTCTTCTTCTTCTTCATCATCCTCATCCTCTTCTTCTTCATCATCCTCATCTTCTTCTTCTTCTTCATCCTCATCTCTCTTCTTCTTCTTCATCCTAATCCTCTTCTTCTTCTTCCTCGTCCTCCTCATCCTCTTCTTCTTCTTCTTCTTCTTCTTCTTCTTCTTCTCATCCTCTTCTTCTCTTCTTCTTCTTCTTCATCTTCTTCATCCTCATCCTCTTCTTCATCATCTCATCCTCTTCTTCATCCTCATCTTCTTCTTCTTCATCCTCATCCTCATCCTCTTCTTCTTCTTCTTCTTCATCATCATCCTCATCCTCTTCTTCTTCTTCTTAATCCTCACCTTCTTCTTCTTCTTCATCCTCATCCTCTTCTTCTTCTTCTTCTTCTTCTTCTTCTTCTTCTCATCCTCATCCTCTTCTTCTTCTTCTTCTTCTTCTTCTTCTTCCTCATCCTCATCCTCTTCTTCTTCTTTCCTCATCCTCATCCTCTCTTCTTCTTCATCATTCTCATCCTCTTCTTCTTCATCATCCTCTTCTTCTTCTTCTTTTTCATCATCCTCATCCTCTTCTTCTTCTTCTTCTTCCTCTTCATCCTCATCCTCTTCTTCTTCTTCTTTCTTCTTCTTCTTCCTCATCCTCATCCTCATCCTTCTTCTTATTCTTCTTCATTCCTCATCCTCATCCTCTTCTTCTTCATCCTCATCTTCTTCTTCTTCTTCTTCTTCTTCTTCTTCCTCATCCTCTTCTTCTTCTTCTTCTTCTTCTTCTTCTTCTTCATCCTCATCCTCTTCTTCTTCTTCTTCTTCTTCTTCTTCTTCTCATCCTCTTCCTCTTCTTCTTCTTCTTCTCATCCTCATCTTCTTCATCCTCATCATCTTCTTCTTCTTCCTCATCCTCATCCTCTTCTTCTTCTTCCTCATCTTCTTCTTCTTCATCCTCTTCCTCTTCTTCTTCTTCTTTCATCTCATCCTCATCCTCTTCTTCTTCTTCTTCTTCATCCTCATCTTCTTCTTCATCCTCATCCTCTTCTTCTTCTTCTTCTTCTTCATCATCCTCATCCTCTTCTTCTTCATCCTCATCCTCTTCTTCTTCTTCTTCTTCTTCATCATCCTCATCCTCTTCTTCTTCTTCATCCTCATCTCATCCTCTTCTTCTTCTTCATCCTCTTCTTCTTCTTCTTCTTCATCCTCATCATCTCTCTTCTTCTTCTTCTTCTTCTTCATCTCATCCTCATCCTCTTTCTTCTTCTTCATCTCTCTTCTTCTTCTTCATCCTCATCCTCTTCTTCTTCTTCTTCTTCTTCTTCTTCTTCTTCATCCTCATCCTCTTCTTCTTCTTCTTCTTCTTCTTCTTCTTCTTCATCCTCATCCTCTTCTTCTTCTTCTTCTTTTCTTCTTCTTCTTCATCCTCATCCTCATCCTCATCCTCTCTTTCTTCTTCTTCTTCTTCTTCTTCATCCTCATCTTCTTCTTCATCCTCATCCTCTTCTTCTTTCTTCTTCATCCTCATCCTCATCCTCTTCTTCTTCAATTGAAGCTGCTTCTGCTCCGCCACTCTGCCATTGGACTCTTGATAGTCGTCTCCCCACACTGCTGCTGGGGGGGGTCTTTTTAACATAGGCCTCTGTATGGCCTTCAATTTAAGCTGCTTACGCTTCGCCACTCTGCCATGGGCCCCTGTACCGCCTCCTCATGCTGCTGCCAGGCCCGTAATCTGCCATGGGCCCCCGTACCGACTCTCTCATGCTGCTGCCAGGCCCGTAATCTGTCATGGGCCCCTGTACCGCCTCCTCATGCTGCTGCCAGGTCCAGAGTGTGTCATGGGTCCCTGTACGGCCTCCCATTGCTGCTGTCTCCATCGCCACACTCTGCCATGTGCCACTTTCAGGTCTCCTCACACTGCTGGTGGGTTCCATTTTGTCATAGGGTGCTGTATGGCCTCCCATTGCTGCTGCCTCCACCGCAACACTGTGGCTCCACACTCTGGTTTTGGCCCCGTGACTGCCCAAATGAGTGAAGTGTGCGGTGATTCTAAGATCGACGGCACTCATCTGCATGTCATACTGACTGTCAGTATTATTTCTCTTCCCCAGCAGACTCCAAGGGCATTTAAATTAAAGGTACAGTGTTCTGCACTAATATAAAGGCTCTCTGAAGCCTAGAAAACCCTTTTAATAAGTTAAATTTGCAGCGAATAAATTTGCATCGAATCGAATTTATTCCGCAAATTCGGCGAATCAGCCGAATCGAATTTTTGAATAATTCGCTCATCTCTAGTGAGAAGCAGTAATTATAACAATTCTGTAAGATCAACATTGAAAATTACTAAAACATTCTGTAGCATTCTGTATATACAACCAACTACTGCAAACTTGGCATTCAAATAGATAAAATGCTGTTAGTATGTGATGGTGTCTAGGTACTCCTTTGTATCCTGTATATCTGCAATGTGAGATTCAAGGCACTCTTTCTGGAGGCTCTAACATGATAAATCAAATCCAGCCTCTTTCGAGATGACCAGCTCCACAATAAGACACAGTGCAGGAGGCATGATAAGTTAGCAATGGGGAAAATATCAGCTGCAGGGAGACCACATGGTTGTGGAGATTATTCTAAATTAAATTTGAAGATGTCACTATTTTCTTTTTTAGTTCTTTCTACTGCCAAATTAAATTGTTTCCATACATCAAACTTTTGTATTTGTTCTGGGTCCAACCTTTTACTAGATGAGAAGCAAGGGAAAATCTTCAACAGCCAAACAGAAAATAAAAAGCTGAAAGAGATTCTAGAATCTCCCTACGTACTTAAAAATACTTATGCTTGTGTTGCTGTCAGAGAGATTTTCTCCTCACTTTCTGTCCTGGTGACAACCTTTTTACTAGATATGAAGTGAAGGAATCTCTTTAACAGATGCTCTAATAGCATTAAAACCTGAAAGGAACTGTAATCCTTCTCCACTGTATCCAAAACAAAAAAAAAGGCTATATATACAATATAGGTAAAACAAAAATGTTCCTTTTAAGGTAACTTCCAAAGTTAGGGCATTCTTACTTGTTAAGCCTTCTGAATTTCCAATGTTTAATCCTTTATTAAGGCTAATAGCACCTTAGCATAGCATATACATGCTTAAATTAGTGGAATAACACTGTAATCCTTTGATTGCCAATGATGTGTGTCCCAAGCATCATAGCGACCAAAGGATTAAAATAGCAGCCATCAGCTTGTTTTTATTTTTTTTTTTCTAGCAGGGCTTTGTAACAAAAGTGATCAAGTTGACTGTAGAACAAGGCTCTGTATGGACACTTCCTATAAGAATCCCCTTGCTTCGTTCACAAACTCTTTTGCTCCTTCCAGGAGCCACAACAAATACCTTTAGGATGGTAAGCTGGAGGAGATGAAGGAACATCCATTTCTTGATCTGTTCTGTTAAAAATGAACCTAAAAGTTGTCAGTTCTGAGCACTTCTAAGTTCAGACAGTTGTCAAAAACAAAGAGATCAACCACTGTTTGTGTTTTAACTGAAGCATTTAAGAGGAATGAGAGATCTTTATGCCTGCATAAAGTGTACCTGTCACTGCATATATGCTATCACATAGGGGGCTTCACAGTCCCCTTATGATATCAATGAGGTTATAGTGGTTGTAAAGGCAAAAGACTTTTTAACTTCATGCATTTCTTTGCATGAAGGTAAAAAACCTTCTGAGTGCAGCTTCCCCCTGTCTCCCTTTATACTCTTCTGAGTATATATATATATATATATATATATATATATATATATAAAATGGATTGCTGCACATGAAAGAACTTTTAGTATTGAAAAAAACACCATACAAAAGAGTGCTCAAAGATGGACAAAGCCATACATAATAGTGTTCAACAAACAGTTTCGGGATATTATGTTAACCCCCTTTGTGAGATCAGAACACATATTGAAGTGAAAAATACCACTATGATCAAATTTATACGGACATCATAATTGGAATCAATTATATAATCAACCACAAATTAGATGCACATCAGATAAGCATCTTCTAATAAATGTGGCACTTTGAAAGTGAAAATTCTGTCAAGAAGAAACATCGCTATATCAAAGATGTGGAATACAGACGTAAGCACCTATTATAAAAAGCACATATATACATTAAAGAAAAACAAATTTGTTTTTAAAATAAAAAAAGGAAATGTAAATAATTTAAATTGTGTATATATATATATATATATATATATATATATATATATATATAAAATAAAGGAAACTAAATGCATTAAAAATAATTTAAAGAAATATATACAGATCAAAATTCGAATTTAACCCTTTAGGGGTTCATGTATCCAAACGATGGATCCATTGAACCTCCCTTTGTCTAGATTGTAATTCTCTGTTACCTCCATGTCTCTTCTTACAAAATCCATTAATAAACATAAATCTAAGTTGGGAAACCGTGTGACGTTTTTCAACAAAATGTCTAGCTAACGGTAACTTAGTATGTTTATCTCTAAAAGAATACTTATGTCTAGCTATTCTATCTTTCACTTTTTGGGTGGTCTCACCAATATATAACAAACTGCATGGACATTTTATCATATAGACCACAAATGATGACTGACAGGTATAATGGTCCTTAATGGATATACTGTAATCTAAATGAGGTTCACAATATATATAGGATTGCTGTCCAACCGACGATAAGTATTAATATCGGTCAACTGTCTAAAAAAAATCTCTTGCTCATGTTTATAGGTATCCATAATGATGATAGAACCCCCCTTTGTCAGCCGGTTTGATAGTAAAACCTCGCCGAGCTGACAAGAAGGTAAGAACTGCCATTTGCTCTTGATTTAAATTGTTAGACACATACTCCCTCTTAGAACTGTCCTGAATAAAAGTTTTTATATCCTGTTCAATCTTGCCAATAAACAGCTCAGTAGCAGGAGAAGTAGTAGAAAGAATAAACCTACATTTTTTTTTAACCCCAAAGGTACAAAATACATAAAGGTAATAAATGATCACTGATTTTGGCAGGTTTGGAAGAGTAAAAAGCCTTTAAACAAATCTGTATATAGAAGCGATATAAATCCTGTTTAAGAACAAAAGTATCCATCTTAGTTTAAGGGCAAAAATTTAACCTTATTCAAAACATGCAATTCAATATCTAAGAACGCAACAGAAGAAATATTATGTACCACATTAGATGATGTAATTAAGTCCTCTGTCTGTTCCTTGTCCGGGTTGCAATTCTCCTTGAAGTTATACTTTCATTTGTTTCTGCCTCCTCTCCTTGTCTTCCTGAGTCCACAGGACGATGATCACACATATGGCAGAACTGGTCAGTGGGAGATCTTTATCATTACAGGAAGACTTTGACAAAATAGGGGATTAGCAGCTATGTGGCAAATGAGATTCAATATTGAGAAATTTAACCTACCAATAGCAAAATGACGGCTGAGCGGGACTCGTTGATTCCCGCTGAGCATGCCTGCAGGGCTGCACTGTGGCAAGATCTGTCACTGGCTGTGTACAGGCCTGTTGCCAGTGCCATGTGACCACTGTGACCTATCACAGCAGGTCACATGACAATTGTAAACAATGGATGGCTTCCTTTCATGCCATCCATTGTATACAGTTGTGTCACTAGCTGTGATTGGTCACAGTGATCACATGTACAGACTGGGCTAATCACAGCCCATCTGTGTCATGTGATTAGCTGTGGCCAATCACAGCTAATCACAACAAAAAAACCTGAATTAATAGATTTCATTCAGTTAAATGCTTGCTTATAGCAAAGAAATTATTTGCTATAAGCAATCGTAATGTATAAAAAAAAAGAAATAAAAAACGTATCACTTCCACATAGTAGTACAATGTTACTATGGTAACATTATACTATTCTGCTCACAGTGTGTTATGAAAAAAAAAATCATAAAAAAAGAGAAAACAACATATAATAAAAAATAATTAATACATTTAAAAAAAGAAAAAAAAAAAAAAATATATATATATATATATATATATATTGCCAAAAGTATTGGTTTGGTTCCAATCACCTCCATGGCCACGGGTGTATAAAATCAAGCACCTAGGCATGCATACCACTTCTACAAACATTTGTGAAAGAATGGGTCACTCTCAGGAGCTCAGTGAATTCAAGTCTGGTACTGTGATAGGTTGCCACCTGTGCAACTAGTCCACCCGTGAAATTTCCTTGATACTAAATATTCCACAGTCAACTGTTAGGGGTATTAAAACAAAGTGGAAGAAACTGGGAACAACAGCAACTCAGTCATGAAGTGGTAGGCCACGTGAAATGACAGAGCAGGGTCAGTGCATGCTAAAGTGAACAGTGCACAGAAGTCGCCAGCTGTCTGTAGAGTCAATAGCTAAAGACCTCCAAACTTCATGTGGCCTTCAGATTAGCACAACAATAGTGCATAGAGACCTTCATGGAAAGGATTTTCATGGCTGAGCAGCTGCATCCAAGCCTACTTCACCAACTGCAATGCAAAGCGCTGAATGCAGTGGTGTAAAGCAAGCCACCACTGGATTCTAGAGTAGTGGAGACATGTTCTCTGAAGTGACAAATCATGCTTCTCTGTCTGGCTAGTCCAATGGACATGTCTGGGTTTGGCGAGATTGCCAGGTGAATAATACTTGCCTGACTGCATTGTGCCAAGTGTAAAGTTAAGTGGATGGGGAGATTATGGTGTGAGGTTGTTTTTCAGGGGTTAGGCTTGGCCTCTTAGTTTCAGTGAAGGGAACTCTTAAGGTGTCAGCATACCAAGACATTTTGGACAATTTCATGCTCACAACTTTTTGGGGATGGCCCGTCCTATTCCAAAATGACTGCGCACCAGTTCACAAAGCAAGGCCCATAAAGACAAGGATGAGCGCATTTGGGGTGGAGGAACTTGACTGGCCTGCACTGACCTTAACCCGAGAGAACACCTTTGGGATGAATTAGAGTGGAAACTGTGAGGCAGGTCTTCTCGTGCGACATCAGTGCCTGACCTCACAAATGCGCTTCTGGAAGAATGGTCAAACATTCCCACAGACACACTCCTAAACTCC